TTTATAGCAAATGGGCAAAAAGGACCAAAATATGCTCTTTCTTTCAACGTCTCTTACCAATAATGTTGTCTACTTTTCATTTCAACGAAAGACACAAAACTTGGCACCTTGGTTCTTAAACAAGAATAAAACATACATATGGAGAATTTTGACTTCTATAGTGTTTTGCACTAGATCGAAATATTTGTCAAACATCAATTCACATGACTATCAACTATGTAAGAGACGGTGCAAGCGGGTTTCACGACTTCTTCCTCATACCTCTTCGAGCCTCTTTCGGAAGACGTCTTTCTAGACTTCCTTCAGGAGACACCTTGGTCCTTTTCTAGAAGACGCCTCTTTGGGGCCTCCTACCAAACATGTATCTCCAAACCTCCTTTGAGCTTCTCCTAGAAAACCCCTCTCATGACTCTTCTTTAATCAAAGGCGATGTACCTCATCATTGCTTTGCTTCTTCAATTCGGCGATCAAAAGAGACCTAACCATTAGCGACACCAAATTGGCCTTGTTAACCTTAGGTGGTTGAAGTCAGATCTCTGATACCTTTTTCAAGTTGCATTCTAGCATATGGAGTCACGTGAAATGTGATTGGTGAGACGTCTTTGCAATGACGGTTGGAGTCAAATTTTACATTTTTTTGCCCACGTGTGCAAGGCCCCAAGCCTATTAATATTTAGAACGCGATATTATGACATGACTAGAGAGTCATTCGAATTAGGAGTGAACGTGGACTAGTTCGGTTCGATTTCGAACAGAATACTAATGTGAATCTTATAAATGGAACCATTGATTCCATATCCAACTATAGAACCGAACCAATCAGTTCCAATTCGATTCGATCGAGTCCAATTCTTTATATTGAAAAAATTATAAAAATAAAGTATGAAATTACTCGTGAAATTGAAAACAGATAAAAATATAATATGAAACTATTTATCATTTTTGTAATCTAACAATATAAAAAATCAATTAAACGAGACAACAAACAAAATTCACTCCGAAGCTTAAGATCAACTCATAAAGACGAACAAAATAATAAACTATGGAACACATCATAAATGGTAAAATATCGATCGAAATTTAATTCTTACAAAAATCCACATAACAATAACATGATTATTTTTACTAATAACAATAACCTGATTATCTCTAGTAATCCTCAATAATCCTTATTTCTCGACCATAAATTCTCAAGCTTATTGTCATTTAAAGGTACGAGTGTGTTTGAACCGCATTATTTGGAAGTATGTATTTTGGAATAGTAGATTGATGGAAAATGTGTGGTTGAAAAAGAAGGAAAAATTATTGATGTGATGGAAAATATTATTTTATTGAAAAATGTGTTGCTGAAAATGAATAGAAGAATGAGAATGCAAATTTTAATGTGGCTCAAACAGAAGCGTAATGACAACCTTGGTCATTCTTTCTAAAATGCAAATATGTCTCCCTTTAGCATCACTCTAGCACTCAATATATTTTCAACTCTCTTTTGATTGACTTGAGATTAGAGTACGTATAATTGTGATCCCCGATCCTTTTGTGTTTGGTTAGCTCCCTAGCTTGCACGTCTAATACATATGTTCCAAGTGTGCATGTAACACATGCTTGAAGAGGAGTGACGATTAGATTTGTGAACTATATCAGTTGGTTCTTTCTCAACTCTAATCACAGTTCAAGTCCTGACACTTGATGAATGATTGGACTATATGGCCTCAAGTAGGCTGCTTTCTGGTAGCAAGGATCACCATACTCATAGATACCAATATTTCTTGACAGCATTTCTGCAATTGCATGTGGACACATTGAATCTAAAATATATTGATTTGACCCTTTAAGCGGGATAAAACATGCTGTCGTGAGACGTGCAACTCCATATTTTATCTATGGTTCGACAATCCAAGCAGTTAAAGCGTAGGCAAGTCAATAATTTCCATTCCTAGTACTAACGAGAAAAATATTTGTTGTACATTACCATTTAAATATTTTTTTTATAAATTGATGATATGTCAAAAAAAAAGTGAGGGAGTTTTTTTTTTTTTTTTTTTTTTTTTTTTTTT